CCCACTCTCCCCTCTCCCGCAGACCAGCTCCTACAGGCTGTGTCATCCCGACGGCGACTGCTTTTCAAAAAAAGTTTCCTCCATTTATTTTTGTAGTATTTTAACAGAAAAAGGTAAATCTCCATATACATAATATATATATATAAATCTGCAGTTTATCAAACAGGGTTTCCACAAGAAGAAAAACGGATCCAGAAGCAGAAACCGCCTCTGTGCAATTGTTGGTGGCGATGACGTCATGCGACAGTGACATCATGGCGATGACATCATATGACTATGGCATCATGCCGATGACATCACAGCGGGAGTTCTAGTCTCTCATTAGCTGTAGAGGCAGGAGGTTAATGAGCATAAATGAGCATAAATGAGCGCTAATTAGCCTTGAACTCGCAGCCGTTCTCCCTGTTCTCCCTCACCATGTCGTCGACGATCCTCAGCAGCTCCGTGACCTGGGCGGGGGCGAGCTCCTCGTCCTCGTTGACGAAGAACAGGTGCCGGTGGCCGCACGCCTGCACCAGCGCCTGCAGGTGCTCGTTCTCCTGGACGAAGTCCCCCCGGGTCCTGTCCCCCAGCTGGTCGGCCTTGGTGAGGAGCACCACGGTGTAGCGGAGCACGTCCTCTCCGAACAGCTCCCTGACCCGCTCCGCCACCTGCCGCCGGCTCTCCGTGTAGCGGTCGTCCGCGGGCACGGCCAGCAGGAAGGCGTGGGGCCCCGGGGCGCTCAGCGACAGGCACCTCCTCATGGTCTGGACCTCCTCCCCGGACAGCTGCCTGCCGGACAGCCCCGGCGTGTCCACCACGGTCACCCTGCGGCCCCGCACCAGCCGGCTGGCCCTCTCGCAGGCCGTGGTGACCGAGCTGGAGCTGATGTCCGCCGTGAACACCTCCTCTCCCAGGATGGTGTTTCCTGAGCTGCTCTTGCCAGCCCCGGTCTTGCCCACCACCACCAGCCTCAGCTCGCGCCCTGCGGGAGACAGACGGTGCCGTGAGAGCAGCTGCAGCAGCTGCAAGAGCAGCAACAACTGCAAGAGCAACAACTGCAGCAGCTGCAAGAGCAGCAACAACTGCAAGAGCA